GGGACGCGGGAGCGACCCGTCTATCCGCAGCCCACACGCCCGGGGCTGGGCAGGAAGGCCCCGCTGAGCCAGTCTGCAGCCGCCCCAGACAGAGATTAATGTCTAACCCGGCTTCATTCCAGAGATGGACAAACCGGTTTGCCCTGAGACGCCTCACCTCCCTCGAGGCAGGGGTCACTGCCGCCCACTCCCGCCTCACCCTCTTCTGCCCTGTGGCCTGGACCCTGAGGCTCCAGCAGTTTCCCCGGGACCTGGCGGTCTGAGTACCTCTGCCCCCTGTGCCCAGCGCGGGGCCGGGCAGCTGGGGGATAGTTGTTAAGACAGGCCCCCGCCACGCCTCCTGCCCCCGTCAGGCGCCCCCGTCAGGTGCAGAAGCTGCCACCGGCCTCCCCAACTCTCCCAAGCCCAGATGGGTGGTTAGAGAACAGGCCTGGCCCAGGGCGGGTGTGCTTGGGAGCAGGGAGCATGCTGAGCTCTCCCCACTGGGTGCCAGGAAGACTTCCTGGAGGAGCAGGGATCGGACTGGGCTGGGAGGAAGGGGCTGGTCCCAGGCAGCAGGCCCGGATGTGCAAGAGGGGCTTTAGGGAAGCCTTGGGGGGCTGGTGCTAGGAGCGCGGGGATGCAGAGAGGGCAGCAGAAGTCAACTGGCCGCGCCGGGTCAGGGTCTGAGGGTGAGAAATGCGGGCTTTATTCTGGGGACAGTCAGGGCCCTCAGAGGGCGCGACTGAGGGTCTGCCCTTGGGAAGTGTCTGTCTGGCTCCTGGGTGGAGACACTCTGGAGGGGAGTCCCCAGCACCCGGGGAAGACCGCAGGGGGCAGCGCATGCGGGCTGGTCCGGTGATGAGTCCTGCGCCCAGGCTCGTCGTCTGCTCCCCAGTCTGCTCCCCAGTCTGCCGTGGGCAGCAAAGCGGAGGGAGTGCGGGCGTGACGCACAGCGAAGCAAGTCAGAACCCCGAGCTTCACACGCCCCGACTCCAGGAGCAGCATCGATTAGCAAGTGGGTCCTGAGGTTCAAGGGGGGAGGAGCGGGGGCCAGGGGGGCAGCAGGTGGCATGCGGGCAGGCACAAAAATAAATATGAAGGGCCTCCCTGGTGGCGCAAGGGGTTAAGCACCGCACTACGAAGCAAACCGCAGCCTCTGCAGCACGACTTCGATCCCCGGCCGGCCAGGGAGCTACCCACATGGCGCAGCAGACCTCTCCTGTCTCCCCGCTGCTCCCCTCAGCAGTGTGTTTCAGTGGATCTGCCTGTTCTGCTTCCCAATCTGTCTCTGGGGAATCCTCTCACTCCCCATGTCTCTGGCCTGTACCCCAGCTCTTGTATGCATACATACATCTTTCATAAATAAATAAATATGAAGGCATCCACAGGTGGAAAATAAAAGAATGGAAAGAGATAAGTCATATGAGCAGCAACCATAAAAATGCTGGGGTGGCCACAAAAAACAAAGCAGACTTTAGGTCAAGGCCTCTTCAAGGCCAGAGCGGCGGCTATCTGCGAGGACGCGCTAGTCCTGTGCGGGCACTGTCCGAGAGCTTCGAGACACACAGAGCAAGCTGGACCCAAGGGAGACGTGGGCAAACACAGCTGGAGATAAAAGAAATCAATAAGTAAATCAATGAATCAAATCTGTACCCCCCCACTCTGCTGGGGGCACCTGTCACCCCGATCCGCAGAGGCTGGCACAGAGCTGGGTGTGGGGAGACATAGCTCTGCCTGCACAGGACTTCCAGGCTGGCCGGGACCACTTCGGGCCTCAGTTTCTCTCCCTGGTAACGGGGGGACTGCTGGCGTCCCCGCTGGGTGTGGCGCGTGAAGGCTCCCTGGGTGTGCGGTGCTCAGTCCCGGCGACAAGTCTGGGGACAGGACTGTGTCTGGAGGTGAGGTCTTCAAAGGGGCGACTAGGACCAGCGAGGTGGTTGCTCAGGTCCTCTAAGAGAGATGAGAGTCCAGCAGGAAGGCTCAGCCGGACCCAGTCCTGCTGACGCCTAGACCTTGCCTTCTAGGGTCCGGCCTGCAGCCCGGCCAGAGTCCTTGTTCCTGCGGCCTTAGCCGGCTAGCCCCGGGGGCTGGGTGGCAGAGCAGCAAGGAGAAAAGGGGCCTGGGGACTTGAGGGCACACAATAGGCACCTGGGGAGGAAGGCTGGCCTCTAGCTGAGCGGGGGCTCAAGTGGGGGCCTTGATGGCCGGGAGAAGGCAGATAGAGGTGAGGCTGTGAGGAAGACGTCTCCTACCCGCCCCCACCCCAGTCACAGAGGGCTCACCCCACCTGCCCACCTCAGGCCCTACCTAGTGACAGGGCACTTGGAGGGTCCCCCATGCCCTGGAGAGGGGCAGGGGCTGCTCGAGAGAGAAGCAGAGCCAGGCCCTTTGAGACACCTGGGCACTGGCACAGTGGCGGGCACAGAGGCGGGGCTGCCTAGCCCGCGTGTCCTGGGTGAGCTGGGTCGGCAGGTGAGCTCCCGAGGGTGGGATGTGGCTGGCCGAGCTTGTGTTTTGCTTTGTTTGGTTGTTTGAAAGTGACGGAACCCCAAAGCCTTGAAAAGCTTGGCTTCCAGAACATTCTGCCACAGAGGACACTCACAGCCAGCATCACGGAGGTGAGGAGTGCCCCCTCTTCTTGACGGAAGCGGGCGGGGCCCAGCCTGGACTGGCCGGCCTTGGAGAAGCACCTCAGGGGCAAAACTTCCCAGCCCATAAATTCCCGGGTTCCAGATTCAAAGGAGGCCTGTGAAGGGCTGGGGCTCAAATAACCTCTCACCCCCAGAACTTCCTGCCCTGTGGCCTCTGCACAGGCTCCTGGTCTGGGCCGGGGCCCGGAAAGACCGGCTGAGGCCGGATCTGTATAACCGGATCTGAGGTCTGCGAGGCTCAGCGCTGGGCCTGCGCCCGGTTGAAAGGGAAATCAAAACGTGTGTGTGTGTGTGTGTGTGTGTGTGTGTGTCTGCTTTTCGCAAAAGAAAAAAGAAAACACTGTAGTCGGCTGCCCACTGGGGGCGCTGGGGACCCGGCACGGGGCACACAGGGTCAGGGCCTCCTTGGTGGTCTGGCGGCCGGGCCCCCCTGCGCCCCTAGAGCCCATCTGCCCGTGACTCACTTGGCCGGCGCTTCACCCTCCGGAATACAAACAAAATCAGCCTCTTTGAAGTGCAGACTTGTTTATAAATCGGAGACTTTTTTCCCAGGATGTTGTTGCTAGATTATTATTTTAATGCCCCCCCAACATTCTCTCCACATGTGGGCTAGGCCAGGCCAGAGACGCGGCTTGTTTTCCACAGGCGGCTGCAGCTGTGGAGAGGACCGCAGCCCCTGGACCTTGACCCTCCGCGGGGCTCCAGACCGAGCCCTCAGGCCGCTGGTCAAGTCCGGGTCCTGAACCACCGGGCCAGAAAGACAGTCCGTGAAAGCCCCGGGGGGACCCCCGCCCCTGCTCGAGTCCCTCCTCTGGGGCATTCTGGGTTCCTGGGGGACAGGATCTGCTCACCCCCATGAGAGGCCCGCCAGCCCACCCCCCATTAGACAGGGGAAACTGAGGCCCAGAGGGAGGAACAGAGCCTTTGCCATTTACATTTTCACTTTGAAAAGTTCCAGCTCCGTAGAAACATCCCAGACGCGCGGCGAGCGCCCGTGTCCCCCAAGGGCCAGCGTCAGGCCGCTTTTGCTGTGTCTCTTGCCTTCTCTTTCTCCCCGTGGGGTGTGGCGTGCGTGGTATGTGTGCGACATGGTGTGTGTGACTTGGTGTGTGTGACATGGTGTGTGTGACTTGGTGTGTGTCTGACTTGGTGTGTGTGACATGGCACGTGTGTGACGTGGCATGCGTGACATGGTGCATGTGACATGGCGTGTGTGACATGATGTGTGTGTCAGTTTGCAGAAGCTCCTTGACCTGGCTGTGGCCATTTCTTTCGACCGGGTGACTCTGGAGGGGACCACACAAGTGACCGCGTCCTCCTGGGGCGCCTCACAAAGCGTCCGCCTGACCGCGGTTCCCCAGTGGCCGGGTGCGTGAGTCCCTCACTGTCCCGTGTGGAATCTCCCGCCCGCTCCGGGAGCCCGTCCCCCGCCCAGGCCAGCGCCTCTGGGCAGCAGGGCCGTGGGCTCCTAGCACTGGCCTCATGTCGAGGCCCCTCTGGCTTCCCTGCCCGCCCGGCGCGGCCACCGTGGTGAGCTCCTCACAGCTGGTGCCCACTCCAGGCCCTTCCTGGACCCGGCTGTCTCCTCGTGACAATACCGGCCTTAACCCCAAACACCAGCGTGCTTCTCCCTCCTCGTCCAGATCCTTCGCTGTGTGTGGGGACCCGGGCGCCTCACCAGCCCCGGGAACCCCACCCTTGCTCCCGCAGGTGCGGCCTCTCCCTGGCGCCTGGTGAGGAGGGCCCAGAGCACTCTGCCCCTCACTGCCCGCGGCAGGCACCAAGTCTCTGCTCCTGGTTGTGACATCAGGCCAGAGTCCCCCCGAGTTCCCGGGGTGGAAGGAACAGCAGCCCCCAGCCGGGCCCCAGGAAGGAGCCTTAAAACCCTGTTCCGGCTCCTTGAAAATGGCGCGGGGCTGGGCACGGACGCGTGTGTGCACAAAGCTCCGCGGTTCTGGGGCAGCAGCCTCGGGAGACCCGGGCACCTGGGCCCTGCCCTCGTGCTCCCAGCCGTTCCCGGCCCTGGCAGCTGGTCGGGAGCCCACGGGTGCTCCTAGGAGGGGCGGCGGGTCTGCAGTGTGGACACTGCGCGCGGGGGCTCGCCCGCCGCCCCAGGCCTCACCGAGGTGAGGGAGGCCGTGGAATCACCACCGGCCTTGCCACACAGCAGGTGCTCTGGTGAGGGCTCAGTGAGGTCTGGGGGGGGGGGGCGTTGCCTGCCAGGCAGCGCCCGGGACTGGGGTGAGGCGGGGTGGTGGCAAAAATCCAGCCCCGAGGCCACGGATTGGCTGGCGGGCCGGGGGCGGGGCGCACCCGGGCCCGGGGTGGCAGGTAGAGGGCGGCGGGGACACCCCACTCGCGCTCCTGCTGCCGCGGGCGATGCCTCTGCTCTGGGCTCTCCTGGCCCTGGGCTGCCTGCGGCTCTGCTCGGGTAAGGGGGGGCAAGAAGAGCCAGCTCTGTCCTGGGGCGCTTCCTGCCGCCCCCTCCAGGGAGGCCCCAGGCGCAGGATGGAAAGTGGCGCTGGGAGTGGGGATTTCTTTTACTCGCCCCAGGAGCTCACACCTCGCGCCAGGCCCTGGGCGGTGCCGAACACCCAGACAGTGACAGCAGCGGGGGCGCCCATGGCGCGGGGGCGCGCAGCCCTGAGATGGGGGACACGGGAGAGGGTGGGGGTGGGGGTGGAGGGGGGGCGGCAGACGTGGCCTTGGCCTGGCCTGGCCGTGACGCCTGGACTCCGGGAGCAGGAGGGCCAGTCCGGGCAGAGGAGCAGTTTGGGCATTTCAGGGTGTGTGTGGCTGAGGGGTGCCCAAGGTGAGGCTGGAGAGACAAGCAAGGGGGTGCAGCTCCTGCAGTGAGCTGGAGGGCAGTGGGGAGGGGCTTAGCGGGGTCCAGGGTCAGGGATGGGCTGGAGAACAGTGGGGGGATCCAGGGTGCAAGTGGAAGTGGAGAGGATGCGGCTCCCAGACTGGGCTGAGGGGGAGGCTTAGGAGGCGCGATGGGGTTCTTGGTGAACGAACGTCTGAGGAGACAGAGAAGGTAGGTTCCCCTGGATTTTGGGGTTTTTGGTCAGCATGATGGGGGACGGGGTGCTGCCCTTGTCAGACAAGTTCCTGAGGTGCCTGTGGGGAGGGAAGCCCCAAGCCCGGCACACCAGGTGCCCCGAAACTGCAAGCAGGTGTGAGCGGGGCCTGGGGGGGGCAGAGGGCGCCCACGAGCGCGGTGGCTCTGATGGGCGAGCTCCCGGCCTGGCTGCCTCCTCCAGGTGTGAGCCTCCAGCCCGAGCTGGCTGGGGTGACCTTGGCCCCCAACAACCCCACGCTCACCACCGTGGCCTTGGAAAAGCCCCTGTGCGTGTTCGACAGCTCGGAGGCTCTCCACGGCGCCCACGAGGTCCACCTCTACGTCCTGGTCGCCTCGGGTAAGGGGCCTGCTTCGCTGGCTGCTCGAGGGGCCTGGGACCTGTCCTGGGGGGAGGCAGAGGGAGACGGAGGGCGGCTCCATCCCTGTTGTGAGGCTACCCCATGCCACTCCCTGCACCACTGGGGTCTGCTCTGCGCCAGCTATGGGCTGGGTGCAGCGGTCACCTGGGGCCGTGCCTGGAGCGATGGCCACGCTGAGACCCGCCGTCCTGCCGCGGCTTTGCACACCTTAGAGCCGTGTCTGCAGCCTCCTGGGTGCTGGGCTGGGCCCCGCGGGGAGCAGGGAATCCAGGGTCAGCGCCCCCGGCGCAGGGTAGGAAACCAGGCCTCTCTGGTCCTGGCGCCCAGGTCCTGGCCGAGGCCCCCAGCTGGCTCAAGGCTGCCAGGCACTGGACCTGCAGGCTCGGCCCCTCCCCAGCTGCGGGGAGCACCTGGCTTGCTAGAGGAGCCGGCTCCAGCCTTTCACCCTTCCCCTGCCGGGTCCCCGGGGGTGTCATTTTATTCTCTCTGCACACACTGGCCAGCTCTGGGGTGTTTTCCTTCCATTTTACTGACCAGGGAGGTAAAGTGAGTCATCCAGGCTCACCAGCGAGTAAGGAGGAGCCCAAGGCCCCGGCGCGGACCGCCCGTCTGCCCCCCGTGTGTGTGCCCGTGCGGCCGCGCGCGTCAGGGTCTAGCAAGGGGAGGACAGGAGTCTTGAGGAGGATGCGGGGCCCTGCAAGGTGAGGTGGCGAGAGCAGGCCCAGAGCAGGGGGGATGCTCCTTGTCAGTGTCCTCCAAGGCTCGGGGAGCCCGGAGGCTGGGCCTGTGACCCCAGGGCCCGGCACGGGGCTGGTGCAGATGCAAAGGGACGTTTGATGACTGAGGGACTGAGCAGACTCGCCTCCCCAGCCCTCTCCAGGAATGCGTCTGTGCAGGACAGCACCCAGGCCCCGCTCAGCTCTACCTTCCAGCAAACAGAGGGCGGGAGGACAGGCCCCTACAAGGCCTTGGCCTTTGACCTGACCCCCTGCAGTGACCTGCCCAGCCTGGATGCGGTCGGGGAGGTGGCCCGGGCCTCTGAGATCCTGAGCGCGTACCTCGTCAGGGTCGGGGCTGACGGGTCCTGCCTGTCTGACCCCAACTTCCAGGGCCTTTGCAACCCGCCCCTGTCGGCAGCCACGGAGTACAGGTGGGTGTGCAGGTGTGCAGGCCGCGGCAGGAGGCGGCCGCTGGGCCCCAGACCCGGCTGGGGGAGGGGAGGGACCGCATTGAGGGTGCCAGGGCGCCCGGTCCGTGCTGGGCTTCCCGCCGTGCGACCGACCGTACCAGGGCTCCGCCCAGAGGCCTCGGCTCAATGCGTGGCCATCTTGAAGTCCTCCGTTTGGCAAGGGCCGGGGTCACCTTGCGCTGGGCCGCGCAGGTCGTGCGCCGGCGTCGGCGACACCTCCAGCTGGAAGGGCAGGGGCTGTGGTCCCGTGAGGGAGGGCCCTTGGGAGTGGATTTTCCCCCATTTAATTTTTTAAGTCCCTTCTGTGATGCCAAAGACCCAGCTGGGAACAGCCAGGAAACCAGGGTGCCCCCAGCCTGGGGGGACACTGCCTGAGGCTGAGCTGGGGAGACACTGGGCAGGGATGTGGGACAGGCTCTGGGCCTCAGCCCACCCACCCCGCCCCCACTAGCTTTCGAGTTTCCTCGAACCCATCCCCGACTCCGCACCCCACCCCCATCCTCGTCCCTCCTCTGTCCCTGGGCTGGGCCCCGGGGTGGATGAAGTCACGCTCCTTCTGTCTCCTTCCAGGTTCAAGTACGTCCTTGTCAATGTGTCCACAGGTTTGGTGCAGGACCAGACCCTGTGGTCTGACCCCATCGGCACCAAGCAGCGTAAGTGGTGGGGCGGGTGCGAGGGGGTGACCCTCCAGGGAAGAGTCTCCCCAGACACAGGGCATTGGGGTGAGGAGGAAAATGCGTGTTAAAAGAATTTAACCTCAAGTCTGACCCACCCCACCCCGAACGCCCCCCACCTGCACCCCGGGCCCCTGGGTGCAGGGACGGGGCGGGGCAGGGGCAGCGTGCTGGGGTCCAGGCAGCCAGCACTTTCCAGCCGTTTCCCTGCCTTTGCCCCAAAGGAGTGTCTCCTGACCCAGCAGAGGGGGTGGCCTCGGGGCGGGGGTGGGGTGGCGTGGTGGGCAGCTCTCTCCACCACGGGGGTCATTTTCCTAAAGTCTGGGGCGGCCAGGCCAGGCTGCCGCCTCAGGCCCCCGCAAGTCCTCAACCCAGCGCTGAGCCTTAGGGGCCACGTGACCCCTGTGTAGCTCCCCTCCCCCCACACCTCGCCCTCTAGGTGAGATTCCCTGGTACCCCACGGGCCAGCAGGGAGCCAGGGGTTTGCCCTGCAGAGCTTCCTGGCCCCACGGTGACCTCATGAGGCCTGCAGGGGCTCGAAGGGTTGCCCCAGTTCACGTGGTTAGTGAGCAGCGTGGCCCTGGGCATGGGGGGGACTCCCTCTCACCTCACCCCCCCACCATGCGTGTGGCCCCCTGCCCTGGGGCTGACAGTCCGTGGGACCCAGGACCCTTAGGGCCTGTCTCCTTCCCTGGAAGTGGGAGGGGGAGCCCTTGCTCTGCACCCCAGCAGGACTTCCCAGGAAGTGCTGAGCCCTGGGACAGAAAGTAGGCCCAAGTCTGGGTCCCAAGTGCTCTGGAAGAGGGGGGCTGGCTCCCCCTGAGCTGTGGGGGGCCATCCGCACAAGGGGGTTCTCATGGGCTGCCTGGGACAGTGGCCTGCAGGGGACCCCTCACCAGTGCCTCACCACAGGCGCTACAAATCCTTTGCTCTCAGCTCCAAAATGGGACAAGGCCCCGGCGAGGTGGGGGGCACCTCTGTCCACCCTTGACCCCACCTTTACCGTGACTGAGCGGGGCCATGTGTCAGCTCCCAGCCTACGAGCAGGCCAGAGGCGGCTCGGGCAGAGGCCAGCACCTGCCGGGCGGAGTGGGGACAGGCTCGGGCACGCCAGGGAACTGACCTCTGCTGGGATGGAGATGGGCCTTGAGCTGGGCCCCCACCTCACCCCTGGGGCTCTCAGTTGCCTGCCGGGGCGGGGACCCTGTGTGTCCCCTGGAACTGCCGAGGGGTGCCTGGGGAGTGACTGGGCCTGCGCCCCCCCAGCCACCCCACACTCCGTGATCGACACGTGGCCGGGCCGGCGCAGCGGGGGCATGATCGTCATCACGTCCATCCTGGGCTCCCTGCCCTTCCTCCTGCTCGTGGCCTTTGCCGGCGCTGTCATCTCGAGCTTCGTGTGAGTACCCACCGGCTGGCGGCCGCGGGACCCCACGCCTTCCCCTAGGTGGGTCTCTCCGCCAGGGAGGCCTCCAAGGTCAGGTCAAGGTCAGGCCCAGCTGGGCGGGGGAGGGCACTGACACAGCTGCACGGCCACCACCAGCAGCTCATCCTTCGCACCTGTTGGCTCATCTGGAAAACGGAGACACCAGAGCGTGTCGCGGGAGGAGGCGGGAGCATGGGGTGGGCCTGGGTGCAGATGAGTGTTCGCTTTTGTGGTCACTGCGTCCATCCCCTGCAGTAAAGAGCGGGAGATGGAGGCCTGAAGGGTCACACGGCAGGGCTGGGCCTAGAGCCCTGGTCTCCTGACTCCACCAAGCTCTGCCGAGGTCTGGGGGGTGGAGGGGAGAACGGGGGATCTGGAGAGCCTACTGGGGCTGCCTGGGGGGAGGACACATGTGAAACAACCCTCCTGGCCCGGAGGATGAGCCTGTGGCCTGGGAATCCAGAAGAGGCCGGCGCAGGCCTGTCCGGAGCATGGGGGAGGGCTTCCTGGAGGAAGAAACAGCCAGAGCAGTGGGGGTGGGGGAGCAGAGAAAGGGAGCCCCAGGGGGTGTTGAAGACCGGGGGTGCCGTCCCAGAGGGGGTGGGGTGCAGAGAAGAAGCCTCCTGGAGCAGGTGAAATGCATGTGGACATCAGTCAGGGGCAGAGAGAGGGAGCTGGGGTGGGGGGCTGGGACTGTGGAAATCCCACGGCCCTTGGTGGTGCTTTAAGCAAACACACACTAGATGAGATCAGCAGCAAGACGCCTGTCCGTCTGGCCGGACCTGCAGGGGCCTGGCCCGCCCCGCTCTGGGCTGCCCCTAATCTGCCCGGACAGGGGTCCTCTTATCTGATCTCAGTCTAGATCTTTATTTCCTCCTCCTCACGCCCACACCCGCTTCGGCTGCCCCAGCTTCCCCTTCGCTCCAGACACTCCCCAGCCCTTCCTAGCGAATGCCTGGAATGCCCCTCTCTGCCCCTGACCATCCCAGTTTGCGGCAGGTTACCCGTCCCCTCCTCCAGGAAGCCCTCCGGTGGCTCCCACCTGGACTTGTCCTTCCTGCCTGGTCCCTGCTTGCCGTCTCTCCCAGCACAACCTTAGCTCTTTGCAGACATGGGACAGCGGCCTCCAAGCCCGGCCCACAGCCACATAAATTATTCACACAGTTTCCAAAACGGGACACTTTCCTTGTCCCCAGGCTCAGTGGCTGAGCGAGGGCCTAAGACCCTGTGGCAGCAGGTTCTGAGAAGCCAGGGCCCGGCCGCTGAAGCGGTCTGGGCTGGGCCGCCCTCACCCCGCTCTCTTCATCCTCTGTCAGGGACACGGGCGATCCTGGCGGGGAGATCACTCACGACTCCCGGATCACGCAGGAGGCCGGGCCCCGAGCCCTGGGGACCCCGGAGCTTTCGCTCCCACCGGCACATCGGGGGCCGGCCCTGGACCGGGCAGAGGTGTACGCCGGCAAGCTGCAGGCCTGAGCCGGCCTCCGCCCCGGGTGGACAGACGGACCTCGCCCCACCCGCCGGCCCGGGACGCGGAGGCCGGCCCAGGGGCAGAAGCTTTAATAAAGCCGGGCTGCGAGTCGTGTTCCACAAAGATGCTCAGCGAACGAGACGATGGCTGGATGGGGGGTCCATGCCGTGTCAAGGCGTTGGGCGGCGGGGCGGGGCGGGGGCTGATTTTCAGTCAAGGTGACGGCAGAGAAGGCTCGGCCCGCAGATGTCAGAGCGCCTTCCGGTACTGGCCGGGCCACCGCTGCCACCATCCTGCACCCCTCGCCCTCCCAGGCTGCCTGAGCAAAGGCTCAGCTTCAGGGCCCCCCGCGGTCCCTTCACAGCATCCCTGAGGGCCCTGCAGTGGGCGGGAGGGGCCTTCGAGACAGAGAACACCCCACGTGCTTGGGGGAGAGGGCGTGCCCAGCCCCAGCCTCTGCTAAAGTGACCCAGTGCTGTCGTGAGCACTGTTTCGGGGTGTACAAAGCCAGCCCCCCCTCCTGTCCCTGCTGGACGACACTGGCAGCGGGCACCTGCAGATGCGAGGCTGCAGGGAGGTGCCTGCAGGCCGGGGGGCCTCGAGGCCACCTAAGGTGGACTGGGCAGTTGCTGGAATTCCCGCTTCGTCCATGCCTGTGTCTCCTCCCAGAACCCGCCTCCTGGGGGCAGGGCTCCCCTCTCCTCTCGGAGACCCCCGGGGGGAGGGAGTAGTGCAGGCAGGGGGCAGGCAAGGCAGCCTGAGGTCGGAGTCAACTGTCAGACACTTCATGGGGCGCAGTGGCCTCTGCCTGTCCCCGAAGCCGTGTGCCCGTCGCCCCGAAGCAAACCCTGTACCTCTTAAGCAGTTACCCGCCATGCCCTCGGCACCCCAACAACCACGGCCTGCCTCGGGCTCTGGGGACGCCCCGCACCCCATGCCCAGGTCCCTGGCTGGCGTGGGCACTGTCTGGCCTGCCCGTCTTGCGTTGCCTGCTCCCCCATTTCCTGGGGGCCCCGGGAGCAGGCGCGGGCATGAGGGGGAGTGTGGGTGTGCGCAGGTGTTTGCGTCCGCGCCTGCTCCAGCGGTTGGGCACCCCTCCAGCAGGGTTTCCTGGCTACAGGGCCCTCCATGGTTACCCTTCCGTGGACCGCCCACCCGTCTCCCCAGCCACCTGCCCCTTTTGCACGCACGCCCCCCCCAACCGCCAGTGTATTGGAGCAGGCCCAGGCTTGTTCTACAGGTTTGGGCACCTCTTGGCCTCGGTCTGTTGGTCTCCGTGGTTGCCCCAGTTTGAAAGGCCAGACCTGCAGGTACCCGGAGGCCTCCACTGCTGGCAGCAGGCACCAGGCGGGAGCTCCTGCTTCTCACACTGTCCTTTTCAAGTTTGATTGCTAGCCCCCTACTTGACCTAGCCACATCTTGGGGAGTACAACCTCACCCCTCCATTTGTGAATGAGCCGCCCTCACCGTCCACCCAAGCCCTGGTGGGGGACTGTCTCTTGCCCCGGTGCCCAGTCTGCTTTGCGGGCCTGGCTAATCGAGGCCCCAGGGAACCCCAACTTTTGGCTCTCAAGAGACTTCAGCAGCAGCTGAGAAGCAGGGGAGATGGCCGGCCTGCCTCAGGTCCGGGGGTCAGCGAGCGAACGGACAATCGCTCCATCCACTTGCTGGGCAGGACCAGCCCCCAGGGGTGAGTTTCACCTCCCCCAAGAACATGCCTCTGCTTGGCCTCCAGAGCCTGGGGGGAGCTGCTGGCCTGGCAGATAAAGGCCCCATGGAGCAGGGCAGCCTGACTCCCTGGGCCGGGAGACACCACGGACTACCTCGTCTCTTGCGGCCTCAGTGACCTCACTTGTGAAAAGGGGTGTGGGTGAGATGAGGCAGACATGGAGCAGCTGTGCTCCTCGTGGACCGGGAGGCAGGGGTGGGGCCCAGCTCTGCAAGGGCCGGGGTACCAGGGGTGACTTCTAGGCTTGGGGCCAGGGCCACTGGGTAGCTGGTGGAAAACCTCCACCAGAACAGAGCGGAGCAGGCCGGGTAGGAGTCACCAGAGCCAAGACTCCAGGGCTGGCCCCCCAGAAGACGTGGGGTTGGGGCTGCTGTTATCCTGTGGTATCACGGGCCGGGCCGGGCAGGGCCGCCAGGCCCCAGGGAGGCTGCCATAAAACGTTCCCCATCTCAGTTCTGGTGACGTTTGAGGTGACTCCCCGCTTGAGGGTGCCGCTGCAGGCCTTTCAGCATGAAGCTGTGCAAAGTGGTAAGAAATGTCAACTAACCTTGAAGCTGCGGAGGCCGAGACGGAGCTCTCGGGCATCACCACCCACCATCAGCTGCCTGCACCACCTTCATTTGCCTGCACCACCTTCCGGGCACTCCCTGGACGGGTCTGCCTGTGCTCAGCCGCGCACTGTGGCCTGCACTTCAGGTTCGCGAAGACCTGAGTGCAGCCCGGGCTCCTTGGCTTCAGCGTCAGCGGGTGGTGAGGAGCCCGGGCTGGCATCTCTGCTCACCCACGAAGGAGAGCTGTGGTTCTCCACCTGCTGAATCTGCCAGCCTAGTCTTGACCTTCGCTCTTTGGTGTCACCGGCGGGGCTTTCTATGCTGAGCGAAGGTGGCCTGAAGCCCTGGGAATCGGGCTGTCAGGCCGGGGAGACGGCGAGGGATGGGCCCTTTCGGCCTGGGGCTGGGAAGGACAACCCGAGAGGCAGGAAGTCTAGCCCTGGCCACCCCTCTGTGACCCTCTCTGTCCCGGCCATCGGTCCTGTTCCTCAGCCCCGAACCTCCCCGCCGCTCCCCATCACTGACACAGCGACAGTGTCAAACTGTCCGCACCACACACTTCTGCAGACAAAACAGCCCCTCCGCAGAGTGTGGCTCCGCACCCTCCCGCGAGCCCTGGAGAGGGCAGGGCCGGGGCTGTGGTGCCTGCAGCCAGGTGAGCCAGCACTCAGCGGAGCGGAGCTCAGCCTGGAGGGCGCGTGGGGAAGATGCCGCCCCTGGCTGTGGGCTCCAGGGCGGGCCGCAGTGCCTGGGCTTGTCGGCACCCACAGAAGCGGTTTTCCTGGTTCCTGGCCCCCTTCCGTGCAGCCGGACGGCCGTTCGCCCAGGTCCTGCCCTCCTCCAGCCCTGGGGCAGCTGGTCACGCTGTCGCTGGGAGCCCAGGGACACCCCTGCTGGGCACGGGGTCCCTCTGGAGCCCCTCGACACTCAGGGCCCTGCTGCTCCCTCCATCTCCGAGGTGGGGCCCCCAGCGCATCCTCCCAAGCTCTTTCCTGCCACCCGAGGGAACTGAGCACCCGGGGCGGGTGGGCACGTGTGTCCCGGGTCAGATGGCGGCGCCGCCTGAGGAAGGGTCACAGGTTCCATCCACCGCCCTCCCTCCCCACGCCTTCTCCATGGGCCCTCGGGCTGCCGCTCTGCCCAGGCCCCCCGCCTCTCCCCGTTTCACCAGTGTGGACGCCGCAGTCTGCCCCAGCCAGGGAGCCGCCCGCCCCGGCCCCCGCAGGCTGCGTCCCACGCCTACCTGGCCGGAGCGCCAGCCGGGCACAGAGCAGGGTCTCCGCGATGCGGGCAGACGGGAAGAGGAGAGTCCTCGGTGCTTTCTGCAAGGCGGAGGGCGGGGCCGGCCCCCCAGCCCCCCGCGAGCCTCCCCTCGTCTGGGCGCTCTGGTGTTCTCGCGCGGCCTCTGCTCCCGGCTGCTTCTGCTCCCGCTCTCTGCTCTCTGCTCTCGTTCTCTCTCGTTCTCTCTCGTTCTGCTGACGCCCGTGACGCCGCCCTTGTTAGCCCCGCCTCAGCCCAGGTGCGCCCACCTATGCGCGCCCACACCCCCTCCAGGTGCCCGCCGTCAGGCCCGCCCGCAGGGCCGCGGGGGCCACGTTACTGCTACGGGCGGGGGGCTGGGAAGCCGATCATTTGGCTCTTCCCTACCCCGGCTGAATGAACCTGGCCCGCAGGCCCTCCCGCCCCGCCGCCCCCCGCCTCCCCAACTCGGCGCCTCTCTCCTCCTGTAGGCTCTGGGGGGACCCGGCTCACGTCCCCCGGGTTCTTGCTCCAATTCGGTCATCCCAGAGAGGCCTTCGGCACCTCGTTCTCCCCTCCCCTGTACTGGGGAACTGGCCTCCGCCCGCGGTGCCCGACCCGTGCACGTATCTGACGGGTCTTGACACGCGCACACACCTGGGAACAACCCCCCTCACACACACAATCCAGAGAACGTATAGACCCATGTCCCCCCAAAGTTTCCTCCTGCCACTTTGTCAGGCCTCCGTCCTGCGCCCGAGTCCTCCCACCTGCTTAAGCTAAAGAATTGTTTGCATTTTCCAGAACTGCATATAAGCGTGACCCATAGTAGGTCTCTTGCCCCCTGGCCTCTCCAGCCAGCACCATCATTTTGAGGTTCGTCAGCGGCCGCCTGTCTCCACACTGCGTTCTTTTTCATCGCAGAGGAGACCCGCAGCCATGGGTGTTCCGCCAGGCAGCAGGCGAGTCACTGCTGGTGAACACGTGGGGCTGTTACAGCGAAGCAGTCCTGCACACACACGTTCAAGTTCCCGTGTGGACGGGACCTGTGCGTCTCTCAGGTAAACACCCAGGCGTGGCATGACCGCTCCTGTGCCAGGGCGAGGTTAACGTTGACCGAGACTGCGACATTGTTCTGCAGAGCGCTGGGACTATTACACAAACGCTTTTTATTTTAAAATCATTAAAGATTCATAGGAAGTTGCAAAAAACAGAGGGAGGTGGGACGCCATTTACTCAGCTTCCTCCACCTTGTGAAACTAGCAGCATTACAGCAAGATCAGGAAACTAATATTAGTGAAATGTGCCCAGCTTATTCCTATTTCCCCGGTTTTCAAGCACCCCGAGTGTGCGTGTCTATGCACTTTCATCACGTGTAGATTTTCTCACCACCACTTTACTAAGCCACACAAATGCTCCACCCCCACGGCTCCCGCCTACTGCTCCTGCGCAGCCAAACCTGCCCCCCAAACCCTCCCCTGGAATCACTGATCTGCTCTCCAGTTCCACGATTTTGTTGTTTCAAAAACGTTATATAAGTGGAATCACACAGAGGCAACCCCGGGAGCCGTTTTTTTGCCTGCAGCAATCT